GAGGAAAATACCTGGAAGTGAAAAACACTGTTATGTAACTTGTTCTCATTTCTCCTCGTATCGCTAGGCCAGCTCGTATGAGCACGCAGCAACCATCAGAACCAGTTCGTCCAAACAATCATGTGATCCGCCAGCCCACCGGCCCAGATGGCACCTCAGGCTTCCGACTCTGCAGATAAACAGGAGCTGCCTGCTGCGAGGAATCAGCCGTCTCCCTGAGAGGGCGTGAAGGGTGGCAGTTTAAAAGGGGATGCGTGTGGTATGAAGAGCAGAGTGGTGGGATGATAAATATTTGACAGACATTAGAAATATGAAGACGTAGCATGGATTGAAATGAACTTCTCCACCCTCTCTCTACTCTGCTTACTGGCATGGTCTTTGCCTTTCACCTTGTCTTTTCCTTCTGGGGAATGTTGCAAGGGGCTGGCAGAGATCAGCCAAAGATCTGAAACCCCTTCTGTTCCACACTGTGAACAGGCTTTTGCCTCACATCCCTACACACTGTGATACTTTGATGTACCATGAGGTGCCCTATGATTTTAAGTATGATTGGCCGGCCGAGCGCCAGGGCATCAGGTGTCTGTCTCTTCAGGGAGAATAAGGAGAGCTCGTTTATCTGTGGGAATTTCCCCGGAGACGTGCAAACGAACAAGCTGGCCTTTCCACTGAGGGAGCGTGGATCGTGGCTGGGTGTCCACCGGGGAGCTGGCCTGAGTTTGTGGAGTTCAGTGGAAATTAAGTGCTTGACAGTGCTGAGAGTTTGCTGTGTGTTCAGCAGCTTGAGTGCAAGGTGATAGAAAGTCAAACTGATCCGACCCTTTTAGTGAAAGTGCACAAAAGTGCGTTTTAATGCTGTAGTTGCATAGCAATGGCAGAGGCCCAGACCAGCACTTTCCACAGTCCACAGGCCTCTTGTTTGGCACTGGTGGCTATGAAAGAAATGCCCGGTGGGCACACAGCCTGTGGCCAAAGATTATAGATCGGAAGGACAGAATGTCACAAAATCTAGGCTTATTCAAGCAATAATAATGAATTTACTCCCTGGATTATTTTTTACTTATTGCCTAATTACCTGTGCCGTGTTTTGTTTCAGATTATCTTTAGTTTTAAACAGTTTACGTTGTTTCTTCATGTTTTTTTCCTGAGACATAATATCTTTAGGTCAGGAGATCAGTAGTGTATCAGATTAGATGACATAGTCTGCATAGGAAACTGTACTGGTAGCGTCATATTCAATTTGTTCAAATTGGTAAAAGTCAGACCTATTCATAAAGTGAAAATCCAAAGTTATTGTGCATGTCCCTGTGTGTGTTGCCTTGATGTTTGTGATCAGAATAGATATGTTGGACCTTCTTTTACAGCCAGCCGCACTGCATCTGACGCAGTATATTGACAGATTGTGCTATTGATGATGGTTTGCTTCAGAAATAACTGTTTGATGCCCAGTGTGGAAGAAGATATAACCACACGACAGCTGCTTTATTTTGGAAAAAACTTTGTCAGGGAAATTTGTGGCAACAACTACTATTAGAAATCTCATCTTTTAATCTGTAGAGTGAAGCCAGATTCCAGAGCCTGGTCTTTCCTGTGGTGGTTTTCACACAAAAGGCTTTAACACCATTATTTGTTGCCACCTATTGAAAAATAAATCAATCTCATGAAATACTGATGAGTTACTAGTACTGATAGTTACTGGCAGTTTCACAGCAAAATGAACCCACAGGAATCTTTGAACCGTTTGTCACTTGTATGCCTTAAATGAGAAATTCCTGGCTACATTCTCCAGTGGGTAGTGCTTGTTAATCTTGTGCTCTTTTGTGCACTTTGTGATTATTTCGTTGAATAAATCCAAAGCTTATAGCTGCACTCAGCATGAGTTTTAGGCAGACACAAAACCAGACTCATTAAGAGTGCAATAAAGATTTTCTTACACAACTGTGCTTTTTAACAAATAATTTCCAGTGCCAGTCAAACCGCTGACTGGAAATACTCAAAAGAACTGTAACAAATAGAAACTATGATTAACAGTAAATTAACTTGCTTCTACGCCTCAGCAAACTTATTGTTAAAACTACTGCGTTTGTATCACTCATTCCAACATCACCAGTGAGTGCAGCGTTGACTAATGTCTGGGAAATTAAATGACGACTTCTTGTTGTTTGATGACAGAAATATAAATTGTCCATTACAGCTCAAACATCTCAATATTTTTGTTTTATGAGATAGTATACACTGTTTGTAAACTGGGCCTGCAACATCGAGGATAAAGCCCACAATACACGCTGTTCCCTGGGGATCAGATTCAATTCTTGAAATAAAATAAAAGTGATTTGTAATAATTTAAAATTGATAATTAAAATCAAAAACCCATCCTGTACCTTTGTGATCTACCCATGAAGCTTTGTTTCAGCCATTCACAGCCACCTGTCTAGTTTTGATGTCAGTGTTTATTTTAAAAACACAAATGACATTTGAATACCCTTTAATAAACACACTTCAAAAACAGAACTTGGTGTATGTTTGTTTTATATTTTGTAAAAGTTGCTGCTTGAGCAGAAAGTTTAATGAATTTTAAGCATACATGTTATTTATATAATATATATGTGATACTGATCGGAATGAACTGAGTGTGGTTAACATAAAGACGTGAAAGATGATTTATTCCCAGTGTGACTTAACAAATATATAAAAATTACAGAATAAGCCTTCAGTGGTAGTGGCTGCTTGTATTCAGTAGTTGCACCAGTGACCGTGTGATTATGTCTTCAATCTGTCATATTCACACGAACATGACAAATTGGAAACTCAATGCTCCGACAATGACAGCTCTGGGCTGAGAAACCTTATTTAAAATCATGAAGTGCTTTAGGGCTCTCAAACTTTTCAAGCACGTTGCAAACTTAGTTAAAATCAGGATGACTTGCAAGTCGGACATCATACTGGTAAAAAATGTTTTAAAAGGTTGTTGAGAACACGTTTACATGTACATAGCAGCAATTACTGTGTATGTTTTTGCTCCAAGAAGGCGTGATTAATGATTTGTTTTCAGCTGATTTGATCAAACAACACATTACCAATAATATAAAACAGGCTATTAAATTAAGAGACTAAGAAATTTTATTAAACTACATGTGTAATATGAGCGTCACACACATTACTGGGGACAGGCAGCCTCCAGCCACAGTTAATGTGATTTTACAAACTGCTTCTATTCCTCATGAAGCATCGTGAGCCTGTTCTTCCTCCTGCAGTCACACACACGTGACATTGATAAAGGTCTGCAGGGGTTCATGTTTAGTGAGTTCAAGAAATTGTTTTTCAAAGCATAAATTTGGAATAGCACAGATGTTACTAATAACATTAACGATGGCGCTGTTCCAGTAAGTGTCCCAGTAAGTCCTGACAGTGTGACAGTGAGCAGGCCTTTCTCACAGCAGTCTTTTTGACATGAAATAGTAGGGTAAACAGGTGATTTCACTTATTTTGGCTGATTAAATACCTTAATCTAACTCTCCTGTCTCCTGTGGAATATACAACATTACATCATTATCTTTATCACTAGCAGTGATGAAATGTAACTAAGGACATTTACTCAAATACTGTACTTGAAGGAAAATAAAAAAATAAAGGTTTGTCAAGGTTGAGGTCACTGTGACTGTTGTTGCACACACTACAGACAAACCTGTTGGTGGACTCCAAACACAGTGCCACCCATTTCAGACAGAAATATTTTTTACTGTGCTTCCTGTCTATGCATCTCCAAATGTGGTGGTTTTGATTTTTAATTTTTGTGATAAACTGAAGGGCTAAGTGTTTTTACGGGTTGAGAAAATCCTCCCACTTCTTAAACTGAATACACTATTTAAAAAAACAACAACTTGGATTGGCTTCCCCAACTCTTTAATTTAAGTAAAGGGTCTGAACAGTGATACTGTGCAAGGTGTATGCAGGTATATGGAGTAGACTCAGTCAGTGTTGGGTATTCCCACTTCTAAATCCCATTTGGTATCATTCAGTTCTTTTTTACCAGGAGGGAGAAGGAATAACACAGTTGTTCAATTTTCAGTGTGTTTCAGTGGATGAAGTAAGAAATAAGGAATACTTCACTCAAAATGCATAATTATGTAGTTGTCTCATACTATGGGTCAGTATTTATTACAAAATATGCACCTCTTCTATGACTAATACTAATTACATAATGATCCTTACTGAATTAATAGAGAAGTTAAGTAACAAACTGCAACTACTACTGGCCCATTTTTGTAGTAGTCTTACAAGAGTAGTCTTATATGTCACTGTTTATAACACAGGGCGTTAAGAAAAAACTAATAGGGGCATAAACCTACTATCTACTTCTCCAGACACCACTACACCTCTGGATCTGAACACCTCTGGATCTGAACACCTCTGGATCTGCTATGTATATCACCCTTCCAACTGTCACTGCAGCCATATGAGGTGTATATCATCAGTCTGTCTGACTGAACAAAATTATAAACGCAAAACTTCTTGTTTCTGCCCCATTCATCATGAGCTGAACTCAAATATTCTCTATGTACACAAAAGGCCGATTTCTCTCAAATATTGTTCACAAATCTGTCAAAATCTGTGTTAGTGGAGCACTTCTCCTTTGCCGAGATAACACCTCACAGGTGTCGGCATATCAAGATGCTGATCAG